AAAGGAGCTCTCTGCCTCTTCTGTTGTATAAAAGTAGCTCTCAGATTGAAAGAGGTTGAAGACCCCTGGTATAACCTTTTAGTATTTTTCATGAATATATTTCAAACAATCGATCACAGGGTCTGGGACAAAGCGACTCAGTAAAAGTGGTTCTTAATTCTGATTCAAATGGTTGACATGTGAGGTCAGGTCGGCAAGATTTTCTAGTTCTCATTTACTAAAAACACAATAAAATGGCTACTACTATCCGCTCACATTTGTCATGATGTCATAGAACAGGCATGTCCAAACTAAGGCCCCGGGGCCAAATGCGTCCCGCTGTGTCATTTAATATGGCCCTCTACGGCTAACACAAAGTAACCATCGAGGTACTTTCACAGTGTCATCCAGCCAACCTCATCTCCACCAATACAGTTATGCTATACCTTGTACATCTCAGAACCTTTGCAATCCAGCCTTCAAGTCATTTGGACACACATTTGTATATAACGACATTTATTGGTGATTTTGTCGTAAAATTCCGTACATTGCACTTCTGTAGCTGTGGTGTGAATCAATATAGACACACTATTCTTCATTTTTACATCCCAGAACAGCCTGAATCCAGCAATATCAGGTTCAGAAATCGTGTTGTCGGTCCCTGGACAAGTCTGGTTACCTAAAGTGGCCCTCTTACTAAATAATTTGGACATCCCTGTCATTGAATATTTCTGAATACCTCCCTCTGCATCCTCTGCACTTCTTTCCCCGGTACATCCACCACCACTCACTTCATTCAAATCTCTCTGATATTAAAGAAAATCCTGGCGACTGAATATTCTCTCACACTGAAGCCGACCTCGTTTTGCCTTTGACAAGAAGGGAAATCCGCGGCGGTTCTAATCAGGATGCACTTATTTGATGTAAGCCTGTAGAAGGGTAACAAAGCCGCGGTTCTGAGGCGGCGTGCGGGCCCGGGCTTGTCTCCGCCGGGGCCCTGGGGGTACGGCGCTGCAGAGACGAGCCTGTTAAAAGTTGAGCTCAGGGAATGTCTCCAGGAAAAAAATGCAGAGATGAAGGATTGTGCGGAGCGGAAAGGGAGAAATGCTTTGGAAAAAGTGTAGCGTGAGGCGAACCGGAGAAGGACTGATAGAGAAGGAGGAGGTGGAGATGAGAGAGACGTTAAATTAATACTTTTTTAACAGCTTTTAAAACATATGAGTGAGAAGATACGGTTGTACACCACCTACTGCTGTGAACAGGGCTGCTAATGATTCAATTCAATTACACTTATTTTTGTATCGCCCTAAATCACAACCTTTAGTTATCGCAGAGGACTTTACAAGCTGTCGATTTGCCAACACAGATCAGAGAATGAAACAGTTCACACAAGGAGCAGAGACCAATGTGCATAAATGTGGTTGAATGTCAGGTCCTTGATCCTCATAACTCATAATCATGGATAGATAGATACTTTATTGATCCCCGAAAGAGAAATTCAGGTGTCCAGTAGCAGCAAAAAATAATAAATGTATGATTATAAAAAGCAAACAATAGTAATAATAACATCAGTCCTTCAGGTCTCAGCAGCAGGTGGAGCTCGGTTCAGACCATGAATCCTCTCTGCTCTGGTCTGGACCAGTGTAAAACCATGAATCCTCTCTGCTCTGGTCTGGACCAGTGTAAAACCATGAATCCTCTCTGCTCTGGTCTGGACCAGTGTAAAACCATGAATCCTCTCTGCTCTGGTCTGGACCAGTGTAAAACCATGAATCCTCTCTGCTCTGGTCTGGACCAGTGTAAAACCATGAATCCTCTCTGCTCTGGTCTGGACCAGTGTAAAACCATGAACCCTCTCTGCTCTGGTCTGGACCAGTGTAAAACCATGAATCCTCTCTGCTCTGGTCTGGACCAGTGTAAAACCATGAATCCTCTCTGCTCTGGTCTGGACCAGTGTAAAACCATGAATCCTCTCTGCTCTGGTCTGGACCAGTGTAAAACCATGAATCCTCTCTGCTCTGGTCTGGACCAGTGTAAAACCATGAATCCTCTCTGCTCTGGTCTGGACCAGTGTAAAACCATGAACCCTCTCTGCTCTGGTCTGGACCAGTGTAAAACCATGAATCCTCTCTGCTCTGGTCTGGACCAGTGTAAAACCATGAATCCTCTCTGCTCTGGTCTGGACCAGTGTAAAACCATGAATCCTCTCTGCTCTGGTCTGGACCAGTGTAAAACCATGAATCCTCTCTGCTCTGGTCTGGACCAGTGTAAAACCATGAATCCTTCTCTGCTCTGGTCTGGACCAGTGTAAAACCATGAATCCTCTCTGCTCTGGTCTGGACCAGTGTAAAACCATGAATCCTCTCTGCTCTGGTCTGGACCAGTGTAAAACCATGAATCCTCTCTGCTCTGGTCTGGACCAGTGTAAAACCATGAATCCTCTCTGCTCTGGTCTGGACCAGTGTAAAACCATGAACCCTCTCTGCTCCTGGTCTGGACCAGTGTAAAACCATGAATCCTCTCTGCTCTGGTCTGGACCAGTGTAAAACCATGAATCCTCTCTGCTCTGGTCTGGACCAGTGTAAAACCATGAATCCTCTCTGCTCTGGTCTGGACCAGTGTAAAACCATGAATCCTCTCTGCTCTGGTCTGGACCAGTGTAAAACCATGAATCCTCTCTGCTCTGGTCTGGACCAGTGTAAAACCATGAATCCTCTCTGCTCTGGTCTGGACCAGTGTAAAACCATGAATCCTCTCTGCTCTGGTCTGGACCAGTGTAAAACCATGAATCCTCTCTGCTCTGGTCTGGACCAGTGTAAAACCATGAATCCTCTCTGCTCTGGTCTGGACCAGTGTAAAACCATGAATGTCTTTGGTGTGTATCTGATGCACTTGTATGATGAAGTAATTTTAAGACGTTTTATGGAGATTGTTGTATTTAGGCCTAACCCTTTAAGTCGATATTGTTGTTTTACTTTTTCATCGCTCAGGCCTAACATGAAGTGAAAACCTCAAACACACATTTCAGAAAATATTTATAAACTTCTAACCAAAAGTACAACCTCAGGAGTGCACTGCAGTTACATAAATAATATAAATAAAGTATATAAATAAACTCTGGAATTAGGTCGTTTTTAATCTTTGAGTGTTCTCCTCTGAAACATGAAGACAAGGTCTGGACTATAAAAGATACAATAGATCAGGGATCGCCAACTTTTTAAGGACTAGAACGAGACAGAGCTACTTTCTCAGGACTAGAACGAGACAGAGCTACTTTCTCAGGAGTAGAACGAGACAGAGCTACTTTCTCAGGAGTAGAACAAGACAGAGCTACTTTCTCAGGAGTAGAACAAGACAGAGCTACTTTCTCAGGACTAGAACGAGACAGAGCTACTTTCTCAGGAGTAGAACGAGACAGAGCTACTTTCTCAGGAGTAGAACGAGACAGAGCTACTTTCTCAGGACTAGAACAAGACAGAGCTACTTTCTCAGGAGTAGAACGAGACAGAGCTACTTTCTCAGGAGTAGAACAAGACAGAGCTACTTTCTCAGGACTAGAACGAGACAGAGCTACTTTCTCAGGAGTAGAACGAGACAGAGCTACTTTCTCAGGAGTAGAACGAGACAGAGCTACTTTCTCAGGACTAGAACAAGACAGAGCTACTTTCTCAGGAGTAGAACGAGACAGAGCTACTTTCTCAGGAGTAGAACGAGACAGAGCTACTTTCTCAGGACTAGAACGAGACAGAGCTACTTTCTCAGGAGTAGAACGAGACAGAGCTACTTTCTCAGGAGTAGAACGAGACAGAGCTACTTTCTCAGGAGTAGAACAAGACAGAGCTACTTTCTCAGGAGTAGAACGAGACAGAGCTACTTTCTCAGGAGTAGAACGAGACAGAGCTACTTTCTCAGGACTAGAACAAGACAGAGCTACTTTCTCAGGAGTAGAACGAGACAGAGCTACTTTCTCAGGAGTAGAACGAGACAGAGCTACAGTACTTTCTCAGGACTAGAACGAGACAGAGCTACTTTCTCAGGACTAGAACGAGACAGAGCTACTTTCTCAGGAGTAGAACGTGACAGAGCTACTTTCTCAGGACTAGAACAAGACAGAGCTACTTTCTCAGGAGTAGAACGAGACAGAGCTACTTTCTCAGGAGTAGAACAAGACAGAGCTACTTTCTCAGGACTAGAACAAGACAGAGCTACTTTCTCAGGAGTAGAACGTGACAGAGCTACTTTCTCAGGAGTAGAACAAGACAGAGCTACTTTCTCAGGACTAGAACAAGACAGAGCTACTTTCTCAGGACTAGAACGAGACAGAGCTACTTTCTCAGGACTAGACTGAGACAGAGATACTTTCTCAGGACTAGAACGAGACAGAGCTACTGTCTCAGGACTAGACTGAGACAGAGCTAGAGCTAGGACCAGGAGAATTGTGATTTTGATTAGCTTGAGCTGTGATTGGTCCGTGTCCTCAGAGCTGTGTTTGGTCCGTGTCCTCAGAGCTGTGATTGGTCCGTGTCCTTAGAGCTGTGATCGGTCCGTGTCCTCAGAGCTGTGATTGGTCCGTGTCCTCAGAGCTGTGATTGGTCCGTGTCCTCAGAGCTGTGTTTGGTCCGTGTCCTCAGAGCTGTGTTTGGTCCGTGTCCTTAGAGCTGTGATCGGTCCGTGTCCTCAGAGCTGTGATTGGTCCGTGTCCTTAGAGCTGTGATCGGTCCGTGTCCTCAGAGCTGTGATTGGTCCGTGTCCTCAGAGCTGTGATTGGTCCGTGTGCTCAGAGCTGTGATTGGTCCGTGTCCTCAGAGCTGTGATTGGTCCGTGTCCTCAGAGCTGTGATTGGTCCGTGTCCTTAGAGCTGTGATTGGTCCGTGTCCTCAGAGCTGTGATTGGTCCGTGTCCTTAGAGCTGTGATCGGTCCGTGTCCTCAGAGCTGTGATCGGTCCGTGTCCTCAGAGCTGTGATTGGTCCGTGTCCTCAGAGCTGTGATTGGTCCGTGTGCTCAGAGCTGTGATTGGTCCATGTCCTCAGAGTTTTTATTGGTCCGTAGCCTCAGCTGTGATTGGTCCGTGGCCTCATCTGTGTTCTCCTATAATCAGACACAACAGAGCAGCGTGTCCCGGGACTCAGCGGCCTCAGGCGTCAGTCCCACTCAGACGAGGAGAACGAGGTGTTTGATTCTGAGCTGCTCTAATGATGGCGCTCGCTCGTGTCGCTCTGGGAGAACTCCGGCGCCGGCGTTCAGAGGCCGCCTGGACGTGCCAGAGACGCGCTCAGCAGAAGACACATGACAGACAGTGAATGTAAGAAATCTGAGGCTGCTGCTAATTGGCTCTGAATGTCCCCGAGTCCCATCAAGAGCTCTGTGAGTTCAAGACATGGTTGTTTCGATCTGAGACTCGCAGACTAAAGGCGGTTATTTGAATTGTTGGGTCGTGGTCTGTCACTATAAAAATAACTCAGGCGTTATTTGGAAGAATGACATTTATCGTTGCTGTCCAAGAAATGTGGTTATGATTTGGAGCGTAGATCCCGACAGAACACGAATGACGAATGGTGAACGGAGAAATGAACGTAGAGATTATGAGACCAAATCCCAGGAGCCTAGACCCTGGGTGTCAAACCGGTTTCACAAAGGGCCGGTTTGGCTGCAGGTTTTAGTTCCAAGTAGAAGCACATCAGACTCCACCCATTTCCTCAAATCTTCAGGTTAAAACTGGACTCCCCTGAGGAAATGGATAGAGTCTGGTGTGCTTCTACTTTAGCTGGAAGTAAAATCTGTAGCCTCAGCTGTGATTGGTCCCTTCCCTCAGAGCTGTAATTGCTCCATGGTCCGTGGCCTCAGAGCTGTGATTGGTCCTTGGCCTCAGCTGTGATTGGTCCCTTCCCTCAGAGCTGTAATTGCTCCATGGTCCGTGGCCTCAGAGCTGTGATTGGTCCGTGGCCTCAGAGCTGTGATTGGTCCATGGCCTCAGCTGTGATTAGTTTGTGGCCTCAGAGCTGTGATTGGTCCGTGGCCTCAGCTGTGATTAGTCCATGGCCTTAGAGCTGTGATTGGTCCATGTCATCAGCTGTGATTGGTTCGTGGCCTCAGCTCTGATTGGTCCGTGTGCTCAGAGCTGTGATTGGTCCATGTCCTCAGAGTTTTGATTGGTCCGTGTCCTCAGAGTTTTTATTGGTCCGTGGCCTCAGCTGTGATTGGTACATGTCCTCAGTTTTTATTGGTCCGTGGCCTCAGCTGTGATTGGTCCGTGGCCTCAGAGCTGTGATTGGTCCGTGGCCTCAGCTGTGATTGGTCCGTGGCCTCATCTGTGTTCTCCTATAATCAGACACAACAGAGCAGCGTGTCCCGGGACTCAGCGGCCTCAGGCGTCAGTCCCACTCAGACGAGGAGAACGAGGTGTTTGATTCTGAGCTGCTCTAATGATGGCGCTCGCTCGTGTCGCTCTGGGAGAACTCCGGCGCCGGCGTTCAGAGGCCGCCTGGACGTGCCAGAGACGCGCTCAGCAGAAGACACATGACACACAGTGAATGTAAGAAATCTGAGGCTGCTGCTAATTGGCTCTGAATGTTCCCGAGTCCCATCAAGAGCTCTGTGAGTTCAAGACGTGTTTGTTTCTCTTCAAAAGCTTCTTCGATCTGAGACTCGCAGACTAAAGGCGGTTATTTGAATTGTTTGGTCGTGGTCTGTCACTATAAAAATAAGCACATAGACTCAGGCATTATATGTAAGAATGACATTTATCGTTGCTGTCCAAGAAATGTGGTTATGATTTGGAGCGTATAGATCCCGACAGAGCACTGCATGACAAATATAGGCCCTGGTGGTGGTCCCCAGAGCCTAGACCAGGGGTGTCAAACCGGTTCCAGAAAGGTCCTCAAATCTTCAGGTTAAAACTGGACTCAGCTGAAGAAATGGATAGAGTCTGATGTGCTTCTGTTTGGGTTGGAACTATAATCTGCAGCAGCACCGGCCATTTGAGGACCCTGGCCCAGACCCTGGTAGTGGGAGCAAAGAGAAAAGGCTGGTTCGGCCAGGTGGTGATGTGGAGGAGGAGGGTTGCTGCACGAATGACAGCTTGATACAGGGTTGTGCTTAAATGTTGCCAGGTGAGTGTGATGGACCGATTGCTGATGCGGCGCAGCAGCAGTGGGAGGACTGACAGTGAGCTTGTGTACGCAGAGTTTCATTCATGACGTCTCATTGGTACTCGCTTTGATGTATCAGAAAACTAGCTTCTCTCAGTTCGTTCAGTATCAGAATGTTTTTATTTTGCCATTGACTGCGAATTAGGAAGTTACATTGCCAAATAATAATAGTACAAATTAGGAATGCATCGATACCACTTTTCCCAAAACAGATACCTGTTTATCTGTCTGTCTGAGTTGGCTGACACGCTGGCTGAGGACCTACCCAGAAAGAAGGTTCTGGGTTCGAACCCCGGTCGGAAGAGGGCCTTTCTGAGTGGAGTTTGCATGTCTGCGTAGGTTTCCTCTGGGTGCTCCGGTTTCCCCTACCACTATAAACATGCACTACATGGGCTTTTGCTTCCGTCATCCCTGTGTGGAGAGAATGAAACAATATCTGAACTCTGAACATTGTAGGATGTATCAAAAATAAACCAGATAAAGTAACAGAATATCCACACCATGACAAATGCCATGACAAAAAACACAGAGCCATTGTCCAGAAATGTTTTTGAATATGGAGTGTCCTGGATCACCACCACTGTGCTTAGACCCTCCTGCATCGGCAAAGAATGACTCTAAAACCCAGTGGGAGAATTGAGAAACCTGGGGGACACCCACATTGAGAAAGATATCCGTTCACATTAAAATAGAACTACAAAATGATCGACTAAACAAGGCTTGAAAACAATAATACCAGCTTCATGAATCCCAATCCCAGCTCAACCCAATCCCAACATTCCATCTCACTCCGGTCCCAGGAGAAGCCTTCCTCACTGCTCCACATGCCGTACACACGACTGCACCTTAAGCTGTGTGTGTATCATTTCATAAGAAAGACTCCCCAGCGCCCTTCCCCCGATGGGCTGTGTATGAAGTGCTGATTCCACAGACGCCACCGAAGCCCGAAGAGGAAGAGCAGAAGAAGAACTGCGCCGGTTGGTCTGGATTCACAATACCTCCTGTCGCCTTCAGCCGCGCCACCAATTTGCAGGATTTGAAGTCGCTAAACATTCGCTAAACATTCACTAAACGTTTTTGACAGAGACTAAAAAACCCGGTCGTGTCTTTAGGCGAGATTCACTTCAGAGCGAGTTATTTTGGTGATAACGAGTCACCGATTTGGATGCTTATTATAAACAGTGTTGTGGTGAAAACATACAAACATACTTCTTTAACAACTCCCCGAGCAGTCAATTTGACAGCTTTTAGTTGTTTCTGTAGATATGTGTAGTTTATGTTTATGTCACTGTGTTTCTGAAAATATCTTTTATATGAGTAGATAGATAGATAGATACTTTATTGATCCCCAGAAGGAGAAATTCAGGTGTCCAGTAGTAGCAAAAAGAAAAAAGAAAATTGATCATTCTAAAAAAAGATAACAATAGTAAATAATTTTATCTGATGCAGCTCGAGACAAAGCGGAACGGCGAGCTGCGTTAGAAGTTTGGTCGTGTTTTGAAAGGACGTTTATCGGATCAATCTCACAGGAAATCAAAACTGTCCAGCCCCAAACCCCGAAAAAGTTTAAAGAGCAGCGTGATGATGTCGTGTGTAGGGCCCCTTTAAAGAGCAGCGTGATGATGTCGTGTGTAGGGCCCTTTAAAGAGCAGCGTGATGATGTCGTGTGCAGGGCCCCTTTAAAGAGCAGCGTGATGATGTCGTGTGTAGGGCCCCTTTAAAGAGCAGCGTGATGATGTCGTGTGTAGGGACCTTTAAAGAGCAGCGTGATGATGTCGTGTGCAGGGCCCTTTAAAGAGCAGCGTGATGATGTCGTGTGCAGGGCCCTTTAAAGAGCAGCGTGATGATGTCGTGTGTAGGGCCCTTTAAAGAGCAGCGTGATGATGTAGTGTGCAGGGCCCTTTAAAGAGCAGCGTGATGATGTCGTGTGCAGGGCCCTTTAAAGAGCAGCGTGATGATGTCGTGTGCAGGGCCCTTTAAAGAGCAGCGTGATGATGTCGTGTGTAGGGCCCTTTAAAGAGCAGCGTGATGATGTCGTGTGCAGGGCCCTTTAAAGAGCAGCGTGATGATGTCGTGTGTAGGGCCCCTTTAAAGAGCAGCGTGATGATGTCGTGTGCAGGGCCCTTTAAAAAGAGCCGCGTGATGATGTCGTGTGTAGGGCCCTTTAAAGAGCAGCGTGATGATGTCGTGTGTAGGGCCCCTTTAAAAAGCAGCGTGATGATGTCGTGTGCAGGGCCCTCTAAAGAGCAGCGTGATGATGTCGTGTGCAGGGCCCTTTAAAGAGCAGCGTGATGATGTCGTGTGCAAGGCCCCTTTAAAGAGCAGCGTGATGATGTCGTGTGCAGGGCCCTTTAAAGAGCAGCGTGATGATGTCGTGTGTAGGGCCCCTTTAAAGAGCAGCGTGATGATGTCGTGTGCAGGGCCCTTTAAAGAGCAGCGTGATGATGTTGTGTGTAGGGCCCTTTAAAGAGCAGCGTGATGATGTCGTGTGCAGGGCCCTTTAAAGAGCAGCGTGATGATGTCGTGTGCAGGGCCCTTTAAAGAGCAGCGTGATGATGTCGTGTGCAGGGCCCTTTAAAGAGCAGCGTGATGATGTAGTGTGCAGGGCCCTTTAAAGAGCAGCGTGATGATGTCGTGTGTAGGGCCCTTTAAAGAGCAGCGTGATGATGTCGTGTGCAGGGCCCTTTAAAGAGCAGCGTGATGATGTCGTGTGCAGGGCCCTTTAAAGAGCAGCGTGATGATGTCGTGTGCAGGGCCCTTTAAAGAGCAGCGTGATGATGTCGTGTGCAGGGCCCTTTAAAGAGCAGCGTGATGATGTCGTGTGTAGGGCCCCTTTAAAGAGCAGCGTGATGATGTCGTGTGTAGGGCCCCTTTAAAGAGCAGCTTGATGATGTCGTGTGTAGGGCCCTTTAAAGAGCAGCGTGATGATGTCGTGTGCAGGGCCCTTTAAAGAGCAGCGTGATGATGTCGTGTGCAGGGCCCTTTAAAGAGCAGCGTGATGATGTCGTGTGCAGGGCCCTTTACAGAGCACGTGATGATGTCGTGTGCAGGGCCCTTTAAAGAGCGCGTGATGATGTCGTGTGCAGGGCCCTTTAAAGAGCAGCGTGATGATGTCGTGTGAGGGCCCTTTAAAGACAGCGTGCCCCCTTGATGATGTCGTGTGAGGCCCTTAAAGAGCAGCGTGATGATGTCGTGTGCAGGGCCCTTTAAAGAGCAGTGATGATGTCGTGTGCAGGGCCCTTTAAAGAGCAGCGTGATGATGTGTGGCGCCTTTAAGACAGCGTGATGATGTCGTTGCAGGGCCCTTTAAAGAGCAGCGTGATGATGTCGTGTGTAGGGCCCTTTAAAGAGCAGCGTGATGATGTCGTGTGCAGGGCCCCTTTAAAGAGCAGCGTGATGATGTCGTGTGCAGGGCCCCTTTAAAGAGCAGCGTGATGATGTCGTGTGCAGGGCCCTTTAAAGAGCAGCGTGATGATGTCGTGTGCAGGGCCCTTTAAAGAGCAGCGTGATGATGTCGTGTGCAGGGCCCTTTAAAGAGCAGCATGATGATGTCGTGTGTAGGCCCCTTTAAAGAGCAGCGTGATGATGTCGTGTGCAGGGCCCTTTAAACGGCAGCGTGATGATGTTGTGTGCAGGGCCCCTTTAAAGCACAGCGTGATGATGTCGTGTGTAGGGCCCCTTTAAAGAGCAGCGTGATGATGTCGTGTGCAGGGCCCTTTAAAGAGCAGCGTGATGATGTCGTGTGCAGGGCCCCTTTAAAGAGCAGCGTGATGATGTCGTGTGTAGGGCCCTTTAAAGAGCAGCGTGATGATGTTGTGTGTAGGGCCCCTTTAAAGAGCAGCGTTATGATGTTGTGTGTAGGGCCCTTTAAAGAGCAGCGTGATGATGTTGTGTGTAGGGCCCTTTAAAGAGCAGCGTGATGATGTTGTGTGTAGGGCCCCTTTAAAGAGCAGCGTGATGATGTCGTGTGCAGGGCCCTTTAAAGAGCAGCGTGATGATGTTGTGTGTAGGGCCCTTTAAAGAGCAGCGTGATGATGTCGTGTGCAGGGCCCTTTAAAGAGCAGCGTGATGATGTCGTGTGCAGGGCCCCTTTAAAGAGCAAGCTTCTACTTCTATAAATATCTTCCTGACTGATTTGATCTTCTTCAAAGTCTAAATTTAGCGCAGTTCCAAAACTAGCTTCTGAGCTTTAGACAAAAACATTGCTGCTTTTGAGCTGTCATTTCACTTTTAGAGATGTTTTCATGTGAGGTGTTTTTTGATGTTGTCTCACAGACGCACTGAGGATCTTGAACTGTCTTTGCTTCATGTTTGCATTTCCACGTTTGTAACTACGACTCCTGAAAAGTCTAAATCTGTGAGCTGTGTTTGGTCTCGCGGTCTCAAAGCCTCGGGATCGTCCGGGAGTTGTTGAGACCTGGGACCGGGCCTGGGACTGGGGATGAATCTGTACCAATTTTTCAAAACCGATACGAGTGCCTTCATTTGAGCACTTACCGATATCTGGGAATTCATAAAACTAATACAACTGAAATTTAAAATGTTTTATTTTCTTTCAACAATAAAATGCTTTAACAATTAAACATTTTAGCGATTGTTTCAACAGTCAACAAAAAGAGCCACTATCATGTTCCACTCGTACAAATGGTAAAAAGAGAAAGCTCCGGTGTATGCTCCGGTGTTAGCCCGGGTGTTAGCTCCGATGCTAGCTCCGGGTGGTGAGTTTTAATATGTTTGATAAAGTTTCTGGTGTGATATATGTTTGTTTTAGCCCCTCCTCGTAACAGTTTTTCCTTAAACAACGTACAGTCTGCTTTACTCTTGTCACTCTCGTTTAAAGTAATTCGCCCGACATCCGCTTGCCGCTAGCTTGCGTGCCCGTAGCTATCTTTATTGCTGCTGACTTTGGGAGATCACCATGGCAACACATGCTGTCCGCTGTCGGGACGCCAATGTAAATAAAAAATGTGGGTATTGGTTTCCGGCATTGGTTCCTATGGTATGAGTATGAGTACAAGCCTATGGTATCAGGTATAGATGCATCCCTACCTGGTACCACGCCTGGGACCACGCCTGGGACCACGCCGGGGACCACGCCTGGGACCACGCCTGGGACCATGCCTGGGACCACGCCTGGGACCTTGTCTGGGACCATGTCTGGGACCATGTCTGGGACCATGTCTGGGACCATGCCTGGGACCACGCCTGGGACCATGTCTGGGACCATGTCTGGGACCATGTCTGGGACCATGTCTGGGACCATGTCTGGGACCATGCCTGGGACCATGTCTGGGACCATGTCTGGGACCATGTCTGGGCCGAGCTGCTTTTTCCATGGCACAGTTTTAGAGAGAAGAGTTTCCAAATGATGAAGCTAATGCCAGACTGTGACCTGGACAGAACAGTTGTAATGGTCAGTAAAGCTTCATCAAAACCTATTATGTGCTTTTTTTGAGCTTTTAAACATATTTTTCTAGCAGATTAGAGTAAAGTCAGTAAGTACTTTATTTTATATAGCACCTTTCACAGACCAGAGTCACAAAATACTTTACAATTGTGGGCATTTGTCTCTCACTCCTCACAGAGAGAGAAGCAAGGTAGAGTAGAGTAGAGAAGAGTAGGGTACAGTAGGGTAGAGTAGAGTAGAGTAGAGTAGAGTAGAGTAGAGTAGAGTAGAGTAGGGTAGAGTAGAGTAGAGTAGAGTAGGGTAGAGTAGAGTAGAGTAGAGTAGAGTAGAGTAGAGTAGAGTAGAGTAGAGTAGAGTAGGGTATAGTAGAGAAGAGTAGGGTAGAGTAGGGTAGGGTAGAGAAGAGTAGAGTAGGGTAGGGTAGGGTAGAGTAGGGTATAATAGAGTAGAGTAGAGTAGAGTAGGGTAGAGCAGAGTAGAGTAGAGTAGAGTAGAGTAGGGTATAGTAGGGTAGAGTAGAGTAGAGTAGAGTAGAGCAGAGCATAGTAGGGTATAGTAGAGTAGAGTAGAGCAGAGTAGAGTAGAGTAGAGTAGAGTAGAGTAGAGCATAGTAGGGTATAGTAGAGTAGAGCAGAGCAGAGCAGAGTAGAGTAGAGTAGAGTAGAGTAGAGTAGGGTAGAGTAGAGTAGAGTAGAGTAGAGTAGAGTAGAGTAGGGTATAGTAGAGTAGAGTAGAGTAGAGTTGAGTAGAGAAGAGTAGGGTAGAGTAGAGTAGAGTAGAGTACAGTAGAGTACAGTAGAGAAGAGTAGAGTAGAGTAGAGTAGAGTAGAGTAGAGTAGGGTAGAGTAGAGTAGGGTAGGGTAGAGTAGAGTAGAGTAGAGTAGAGTAGAGTAGGGTATAGTAGAGTAGAGTAGAGTAGAGTAGAGTAGAGTAGGGTAGAGTAGAGTAGAGTAGAGTAGAGTAGAGTAGAGTAGAGTAGAGTAGAGTAGAGGGTTGTCTCTGTGTTTCTCCCTCTCGTCAGTTTGGACTTTCATGTTATAAATAAACCAGATTATTTTTCTGGTTCTTTAGCTTCCACCTCACGACATGTGCAGTAGTTTGCAGTCCGTGGCCTCCTCTTGCGTTTGGCTTTTGGCGATTACGAACCGCGAGATAGAAACTCGTACGAACTCAGAATATACTGAAGTAATCTCTTGCGATCCCTAAAAGCTCCAGAAGCTTCAGTCTCCGCTCAGACAATAAGACGTCGACAATTACAGCCAATCCTGCGTGTTTGTGCCCGGACTCTTATCTGAGGCGGGCAGGTCTCCTCGGCTGCCCCCGCCTCCTCCTCCTCTCCTCCTCCCGCCTCCTCCTCTCCTCTCGCACAAAGACATTTAACACCTCTTAAAGAATTTGCACGGCTCTTTCTCTTCCCCGATGAGGGACCCGACCCAAACGCGCCGCAGCCAAAGCCGATAACGGCGAGGAGCAGCGACAGGACGGCTTCATTTCCACCGTTTAAGTCGATCTTCAAAGGAGCAGAAGGAGCGCGTCGGATGTTTGGGAGACGCCGGTGTTTTCTCCTCAAATGATGCTCAGCGTGGCGCCTCCCAAGAAGGAACAAGAACCGGTTCGAGCTTCTGTGTCGCTGCTTTTGTGAAAACATGGATAGAACTCACGTCATGGGTTTGATTCAGACTTAGCATATTCAAACATTGATTATCCCTGAAACCCTCATGGGGCTGTTTATGAGAGAGTGGTTATCTCAGAGGGCTTAAAGGAGCAATATGTAAGATCATCATCATTAAAGGGCCCTAATCTGTCGTCATTAAAGGGCTCTAATCCGACATCATTAAAGAGCCCTAATCTGTCGTCATTAAAGGGCCCTAATCTGTCATCATTAAAGGGCCCTAATCTGTCATCATTAAAAGGACCCTAATCTGCCGTCATTAAAGGGCCCTAATTTGCCGTCATTAAAGGGCCCTAATCTGTCATCATTAAAGGGCCCTAATTTGCCGTCATTAAAGGGCCCTAATATTTCATCATTAAAGGGCCCTAATCTGTCAAAGGGCATAAATAAACCATGGTCTTTTCAAATACAGTAGTTCAGAGATCTTGTTATTGTTTTCATTTCGATGTCCCGCCCTCCACCGTTTCACCAATCAGAAAGTCTGTGATCCGGGCGCCAGAACTCACCGCGTGGAGCTAATCTCACTGGTAAAGTACCATGTGGCGCAGAACTAAAAAAGGTCTCGTTATGATTCTCAAATCATTAACGACAAAACAAGGAATAAAACCAGGATTTCTATCTTTGTGAAAAAGGTGTTGGTTATAGATTTGTTGTTGACAAAACTCTTGTCTATTCAGCTGTTATGGTCCCAGCTGGATTCGTCTGCATATCTGGCAACCTGAGTCAGGGACAGTGGGAGAGGCTGCAGTACCACTTTTGGCCACATTTTTACACACTGCTCCTTTAACAAAACCGTTGAAATCGGCGACAGTTCAACCACAGAGAGAAAACTTGGTATTGGACTGGTCTATGATACAAATGATACACAACTATTGAGTACTCAGTGATTGACGAGTATCATGAGGTCACACCCCCTCCATAGGCCCCCATTCATTTCAGTGGGCACTACAGTCTGTCTGGGCACGTGTTGTCGGGTCTGGGGGACAAATGTCTGCACCCCGAGATGGTGACTTATGATAGTTATAATGAGTAATGGGAAAGA